GGTGCCCGGCGCCCCGGGGCTCCTCGGTGAGGGTCCGCAGCGGGGCCCGAAGCCCGCGCTGGGGTAGCGAGAGGCCTGGGCTTGCGAGCCGGCGCTCGCGCCCCGAGCGGTAAGGGCGTGGGAACCGCCGCCCACCAACAGCATGTGAGTTCAAAAGCCCTCTCGTGCCATGGTGGGAAAGTGCGTCCTGGGGAAGGTAAAGSCTGGAAGAGCCACTGCAGATCTCCAGGAGAAGAATTCCTTCTGGGGGTGGTGGGTGGGAGTCTCGAGTGCTTTGTGCGATCATCACCATGGCTAATGGCTGAAGCTAAACAGAAGTTTTAGTGTGAATGCAGGTGGTCAACTATTTGCTGCCAAAGCTGTCAAGAGTCATAAAAATTAAATAAATAAATAAAAGCTGCTTTGTACAGCAGTTCTTCCCCAAGCGGTAAACTTCTTTGTTAGTGGCAAACTGTTAGGAGCTCTGCAATCTCTGTGCCCTGCTCAGTGTTATCCCGATAGTGGAGTTCCCCTTGGTGCTTGGTAAGCGGTGCCTGACAACGTCTCTTATGTGCTGTTACGCACTGGAGCTGTCTGGCACGCTGGTAAATTGAGAATGACCGTCAGGGACTTGGCAGGCTTTTCAGCTGGTTAGTTTGAAGGACTGGTGGTTATGTCTGGCAGGCCTTTTTGTGCCTSTTTTTTTGGTAAAAAACAAGCTCGCCTTATTTGATACCGCTGCACAAGTTTGTGAATTGCTGATGTGATGATACTGACTGCTGCTGCTGATGTGAACTGCTGCCTGTGCTCCTTGTTAGCACAGCCCGAGGCCCTCCCGTCTCCCACGCTGTGCAGCCGCGGGGCTCGCCTCCCTGGGCGCGTTTCACCTGTGGGCGCTGAGCGTCCCCCTCGGTCACTGTCACCGCGTTGCTTTGTGTCAGTGAAACGGGAGGTGGAAGGACATGTTTGTCCTCTGATGATGCCATGATGTGCTGACTGTACTGGATAATTTTATAATTTTATAATTTTATAATTTTATAATTTTATTTTAGTTGTGCCAGCTTCTCATTGTTTTAGCAGTTTGGGGTTCTGAAGCTCAAGCAGAAGTTTCTGGCAGTGCTATTTATGTTAAATATAAAACAGGCTGGCCTCTCACCAAAATCCTCGGTTTTGCCCTTTCCTACTGCATAATCTTGTTAGTGGAGGGGGGAAGTCTTACAACTACTGCGATTTTACAGATTGCTGGAGGGCTGATCCGTGCAGCACCATGGACTCGTCGGAAGAGACCGGAGGCTCCTCCACAGAAGAGAACTACTTTGTGAACTACACCTTCACGGATCGCTCGCACTCGGGCCGCGTGGCGCAGGGCATCATGAAGCTGTGCTTGGAGGATGAGCTGTTTGCCGATGTTACGATATCTGTGGAAGGCAAAGAATTCCAGCTGCACCGCTTGGTCCTCTCAGCTCAGAGTTGCTTCTTTCGTTCCATGTTCACGTCCAACCTAAAGGAGGCCCACAACCGAGTCATTGAGCTGCAGGATGTTAGCGAGAGTGTCTTCCAGCTCCTTGTGGACTATATTTACCATGGGACTGTAAAGCTGAGGGCAGAGGAACTGCAGGAAACCTACGAGGTGGCAGACATGTACCAACTGACTGCCCTTTTTGAAGAGTGCTCCCGTTTCCTGGCCCGAACGGTGCAGGTTAGGAACTGTCTGCAGGTCATGTGGCTGGCAGATCAACACAGTGACGTGGAGCTCTACACAGCTGCCAAACACTGTGCCAAGTCGCACTTGTCTCAGCTTCAAGACACAGAGGAGTTTCTACACCTACCTCTCCGCCTGTTGACAGACATCCTTACAGGTAAGGAGTTTTTGAGGCTAGTTAAGAGTGTGAATGTGGAAAGAGATTTGAGGCTGCAGCATGAGAGTGTGGCAGGGACTGAAAAACTGAGACAGATGGAAGGGCACAAGCCTTCGTAATCACTGTCTATTCAGGAGCTGAGCAAAGCAAAACAAAGCATGATGCATAATTTCATCAGAGAAAACTGCTAAGCCGGGGCTTTAAAACCTGTCCACGATGGTGCTGTACAGTTCAATTTTTGTGGATTTATTTAGCATTTCCTGGAGAAAGAAAGAGTGTAGATGAGACTTCCTCATTCATACATGCTGGATTTGGGACTCCCAGAGCAGCCTCCTTTCTTTTTATAATTAAAATATAATGAACAAAAACATCTGTAAATGGACACATTACTACACTTTGTGTCACATGCACTTTATTTGCTCTTATACCTGCAAACCTGCCATGACTGGCTTTTTTTGAGTATTGGTAAATCTGTCCTTGAGACTTAAAGTTGATGCTATGCAAGTCTTAACTGATAAAGACCTGACAGATTTCCTTTGCATCTAAAGACAGTCACAGTCAAAAACCTATTGAGAGTATGTAGTGATAGCTAAAGAAAGACCAAAATAAAACTAGAGGAATTTTTGTAACTGTTCCTGGTTTTGTAAACCTAAAATATTTAAATTTGTGGCTTCATGAAATATTCTTACAGTTGAAAATAAAGTTATAGTGGCCAGTCACCCTTAACTTTTTCCTTCGTTATGCCTTGCAGTAACCATCACTTTACAATTACAACTTTTAATTTTTGTGGTCTTAAATTAAACTACTTGCTTAAGAATTTTTATCTATGCATTATCTACTTCCATATTTGGGTATGGAATAGATTTGTTTTTCTTTTAGTTCCTGTGTGTCGATTTAGTTAATGGACAATTAAAGAAAGTGTATTGTGTAGAATGTTTCCTATTACCACACTGCTAAGGAAAGCTACAGTAGCTCACCATAGTACAAATAGCCAGTCTTGAGGGTCAGTTGTCTGAGGGAGTGCATGGGGAAGAAAAATTGTTGCAAATCACCTTTGCTGGACTAACTTGCAGGAGAAGTCACTGATCCAAGAAATGCAGCTGCTGCTGCTCTTAAATAAGAGAAACTTTTTGCTTGATGAGAGAGTGCTTTTCATCCTCACAAAGCCTGTAAAGTATCTTTCCTGCCCTCTTTCTCTCTGACATAGGTTCCTTTGTTGAAATTCATCCAAAAAATGTAAAATCCGGCAATCCTATCTTCTTAAATTTCACCAAGCAAATTGGATGTAGATGCCTGGCTGTAGTACTGATTGTGTCTGCCAAAATCTATAAACTCTTGTCTCTCTCCTTGCACTCTAACGGGGTGGGGTTTGTGGCCGGGTGGTGAGTAGGAGTTGGAGAAATGGAGGGCCAGGAGTGCAGGTGTCTTTGGGTTTTGTGTGGATCTGATAAACTCCTTTCTGTCCCCGGACCGCAGATGGCGTCCCATGCTCTCAAAACCCAACAGTTGCCATAGAAACCTGGATCAACTTCAACAAGGAAGAGCGGGCCGGCTTTTCGGAGACGCTGCGATCCAGCCTGAAGGTAGGAAGAGACCTCCTGTCCTGGGCTTAGAGCAGTGGTTGTGCACTCCCAGGGAAGGAGTCATCTGCTCACCAGAATCACTTGAAAGTTGTGAGACGTGAATTGTCACTGTGGTTCGTGGTGCTGGTGTGGGCAATACGGAGGTCCTAAATAGAAACCCCGCTGACGGCTGCTCCACCTTCATGCTGCTGTTGCCAGCAATTGGGGCCATGCCACAAGCAGCACATTTCACCAGATGCCCGGTTATTGAAGAGCTCGTTCAAAAATCTTAACAGGTTGGCATTCACCCCTTAATAATTCTACTTGCTCAGTGAGATGACCAGCTTTTAATTAGATTATAGCCTCTAGGTTTCAAGTGAACAATGTTGCACACTGCTAGATCAGATATGACGGAAGGCTTGAAAAGGCTTTGAGGCTCTGAACCCTGAGCACTCTAAGGTGGCAGGTACTGGGATCAGGTCACACACTACAGCCTCACAGTGGGTCCTAAAACACTTAAAGATTCGGTCTTAGACATTCCCCCCCGATGAATATATAGCATGTGTATATGTGTGTTTATGTGTATAAACATGCCTGGGTCCTGTTGTGGCTGACACTCCTCCTTTCCCTCAGGTGATTGGAGAAAATGTTCACATCTACCTGATCGGGAAGGAGTCGTCACGTACGCACTCGCTCGCTGTCTCTCTGCATTGTGCTGATGACGACTCCATAAGCGTGAGCGGCCAGAACAGCCTGTGTCACCAGATCACTGCGGCCTGCAAGCACGGCAGTGACCTCTACGTTGTCGGCGGCTCCATCCCACGCCGCATGTGGAAATGCAACAACGCAACGATAGACTGGGAATGGTGTGCCCCTCTGCCCCGTGACCGGCTCCAACATACCCTGGTCTCTGTGCCAAGCAAGGATGCTATATATTCATTGGGGGGGAAAACTCTGCAGGACACTCTCTCTAATGCTGTCATATATTACAGAGTACGAGACAACGTATGGACAGAGACCAGCCAGTTGGAAGTGGCTGTGTCTGGGGCTGCAGGTGTAAACCTTAATGGTGTCATCTACCTGCTGGGAGGGGAAGAGAACGACTTGGACTTTTTCACCAAGCCCTCTCGGCTTATTCAGTGCTACGATACCAACACGGAGAAATGCCACGTGAAGCCCTATGTACTGCCTTTCGCCGGCCGCATGCACGCCGCCGTGCACAAGGATGTGGTGTTCATTGTAGCTGAGGGCGACTCGCTGCTGTGCTACAATCCCTTACTCGACAGCTTCACCCGGCTGTGCTTGCCCGACGCCTGGAGCTCAGTACCATCCCTCTGGAAAATCGCCAGCTGCAACGGCAGCATCTACGTCTTTCGCGATCGCTATAAAAAGGGGGATGCAAATACTTTTAAACTTAACCCAGCCACCTCTGTGGTAACAGTCACAAGTGGCATCAAAGTGCTGCTCACTAACCTGCAGTTTGTCCTGGCCTAGAACGGAAAGAACGGCCCACTGGTAGGAAGGGCAGAAAAACTTTCCCGCTGTGCACTTCAGAGGCATCCGGCATCCTCAACACCAGTTCCACTTACTACGAACTCACAGCATCCAGCAAGCAGCCCATCCTCTGTAGCTGCACAGGGGGAGTGCCTGCCACCCAGCTGCGGGCCTGTTCTCTTGCATAGCACTATTCAACTGCTGCATCTTAGGTTTCAGGTGGACTGAATGCCATTACTGTAATCCCTTGATAATAAACTGCTTGTATTTGAGGCCAAAACTCCAGCAAGTGGCTTTTTTAGCCTGGAACCATCCACTTGTGACAAATCCTATAGCATATGGACAACCTCCTTCTTGGCCCAGACTGCTATTTTTAACTGACCAGGAGACTGCATTGCTGCTCTTGCCACTCACAGAGAGTGTATGTGCTCTGTCTGTCTTGCAGGGAAGTCTTCATTTAAACATGTCTTTGTAGCAGCAGGAGGGACTGACAGAAATTATATTAATGGGGGACAGATTCCAAAGCTGAGCCCAAACTGTGATTCGGTTGTATGCTTGAGCACTTCTAGAGGAGTGATAACAAACTGGGTCCCTGCTTTCTGCTGTGCTGTCACCTAGCATAAAGAGGGAGATGATTCTTGAGAGCATTGGCTTTCTTGTCTGTACAGGGAATCCCAATTGTAATCATAACATAGYGTTGGTGAAAGATGGAATTAAGTCCACTTCCTCCTACCCTCTCTCGCACTGTAACCCTTTGGGTCAGAAAGTGAATAAAGTCTCTGCTGAGACACAGTTTTATTTTTGTTTGCTGCAAATACAAGAGCATTATGTGGATGGCAGTTTGGCTCTGCGCTGATACTGTGCGTGTTGAAAAACCTATGTGGCTTTAAAAGAACTAAGAGACAAGCCATAAGGAGGAAAGCATTAATGATAACAGCCACCCTCCCCTTCCAAATAGTGTATTATAAAAAGCTTCTTTATTGATGGCCAAGAAACAGAACACAAACCTTCATTAGTTCATTAAGATACATTTTTTTTGTTTTGTTCTCTACGGAGCTGAGATTTTTATGG